AAGAGGCAACAGAGGGAAACAAATCAGGAAATTTATGGATGATAATAACCCCTGGGGATGAGGTGATCGCTACCAAGCTATGTCTAATTTGTTTTGTGTGGTTATTTGTGTAACATACACGGCTGTAAGCTGTTATTTAAAAAAAACGACCCGCTGGGTTTTTTTACTGATTCTTCCCAGCACAGAGGTTTTTTCGAACCAAATTTAATAAACAAAAGAGTTACTTGCAATAAGTACTATTTATAATCTATATTGAATAAAAAAGCTTCTGTTTCTGTTTCTGGACATGACAAAAAAACTGCGGTTGCTAACCCGCTTGCCAAGCGTGGCAACTATGGCAAATATCCCCCCCTATGAGGCAATCTATAGGGGAGGCCTATGTTCAGCACTGGATTTTAATAGGATGTAACGGTAACGATATATCGGTAATACTGTATACTGCTAATATGTACGACCCAATTGGCGATATATTGAAGATGAGCCAGATTAAGAGTACCCATAACCAACGAGAATGTATGTGTAATTATATGGATGTAAAGGAGGCGAAAGAGATGTGTCAGGATAGTGCCAAATGGAAGTCCTTAGTCTCTGCCTACCCCTCTATATTATTCTATTTGATATATCCTGTCTAATATTCCATAGAATTTCCTCTAAGTTGGTACCAGTCGAATACTCATGCTTCTTACGACACCCACGGGATGGTACTGTGTGTGTGTGTGTGGATATTCTTACACCGTTACTACACAGATTAAATAACAACCAAATTAAAAAAGAACAATACAGATGCGTTATTACCCCTGAGGGTCTAGATAGAATGACTTACAGCCTGTAATTTTACTGACACCCTGAAACTTTCGGATCAGAACTAAGCAGTACACACTGCTGCTTGGTGGCAGAAATATCAGAGGGTACTCATATGAACTCTTAGGCACAAAAGAAGTTGTACCACCTAGGAACCTTGTAGAAGTTATACAGATTTTTTTTATAGGAGAGGGGGCAAACAAGCATACGGCTCACCTGATGGTAAGTGATTACCGCCACCCATGAACAACAACAACAACCCCAGGGGAATTGCAGATGCGTTGCCGGTCTTTTAAAAAGGAGGTTTTTTTTTTATAGAATAAAGGTGACAAGCGAGCACACAGTCCACCTCATGGTAAGTGGTTGCTGTGACCCATAGACATCTACATCTATCGATTACGAATCAAAATGCAGACGCGTTGTCACCCGTGAGAACTAAGATGGAATGCCTCGTTCCAGTAAAAAAGGTCTCCGGTTCTCTACACTCACCATACGAAACACAGCAGCATTAAGCTGCTATTTTGCGCTGGTATTCTGTGAAAGCGTTGTCCTTCCCCGGTCGAACCGACCCATTCGTGCTACAACTATACAACTAAGACAGCAGCATGGCTCTACCACGACAAAAGTAGGAGTACACTCTTTTAATCGTACAGTAGCAACAAACAACAATTTTCAGCATTGTTTATGGAGGTTTGTTGTCGCTGTTTGTGCTGTTAGCTAGCCACTGTTAGCTCGTTTCTCACTTCTATATTATTTAAAAAAAATGTTGAATTTGCCTCTTTAAGGGTCAATAATTATGTTGTTTTCCTGACCTTTAAAATGTTTGCTTAGTCGGTTTAAGTGCGATTATCTCTCAGTATATAATAATATGCATTTATTTCACGAGCTTATATGACTGATTCAATTTTTATACAGTTAAACTCTAAGAGGTACATACGAATCCTGTAAAGTGTTTGTCGAGAAAAATAAATTGTGCTAAAGAATGTCTCGTCAGTATTCTATGTCATAGTTATTTATATTTTAAAACCGCTTTTTTAACATGGTAACATATAACTTCATTAAATTTCTAATAAATAAATAACGGGAGTTTTCAAAATGTAGGCATCATGGGCTAGATCTTCAGACGATTTTTTTTATAGAATAAGAGTCGCAAATGAGCACACAGTCCACCTGATGATAAGTGAATGCCTTGGCCCATACACATCTACATTCATCCTCAATTAAGAATCAAAATGCAGATGCGTTGTCACCCTTGAGGACTGAGATGGAATTCCTCGTTTCCAGTAAAAAGGGTCTCCGGTTCTCTACACTCACCATACGAAACACAGCATCATTGAGCTACTATTTTACGCTGGTATTCTGTGAGAGCGTGGTCCTATTCCGGTCGAGCCGACCCATTTGTACTGCAACCACAATATAGCTACAGTATGGCTCTGCCACGTAACAAAAATGTAAAATCGGTATGTAATATACCGATATTATATTTTTCTACAATATCGGTAGCCGTGTGATATAGAAATTTGGGAATAAGTGATTAAAATCATTTGCAAACCGATGCTGCATTCATCATGATCATCAGTACAGCCCTTCACAAGTCTACTGCTGAACATAGAACTCCTCCAAAAATGCCACAAAGCACGGTCCATGGACGCTGCATTGCTAAGGCTTAATGCATCCGCGAATGTTGTCTAAACATTTATTTTTCAGATGTCCAGAATCCTGGAGTCTACCTGCATAAGACAGTTTTATTCACATTATGATAGTTCACATTTATGGCAAATCGTATTTAGTACCGTGGGTACTAAATACGATTATCAAATTAAAGCTCGTCCAATACATATTTTCTACCGACTTCAAAAAGGAGCCGGTACTCAATTTGATTGTATGTTTTTATGTGTGTTACCTCATAACTTTTTACTTGGTGAACCGATTTCTATTCACATGTGGTCCCATATGAATTTGATCAAGGTCAGACCAATAGTTTTTGAGTATTTATATTGAAGTCGACTGTACAAAATTTTTAATTTTTAATTACTTATTTAACTATTCTTCGAAGAATCCACATTTCAAAACCTGTAATATAATACAATAGCTGAGGCATAATGGAAGAGAATTTCCAGTTTAAAGTCATAAAGGGCTTTGGTCTTCGTATTAAGGGGAGATGAAGAGGAGGGGATTCTTATTAAAACAAATTTTGCTTCCCTATTTCGACAAATAATACTAGAATTTCTCGACATTTTTAAGCACGAGCATTATTTTATTTTAGTTTTGCTGGTATTAATGAACTGCCCCATTGCTTCGCCAGATGATGCAGTGACGACTTCGTAAGAGATAAAAGAAGTCGATAGGTGCAGAAGGATCAGGACCGTGTTTTGCGGCATCCCTTGCGTGCATGTTTAGAGATGGTCTGTAATGATGATGATGATGATGATGATTGTCTTTATGAGCTTCTAATTTAAAGGTATTTTCAGGTGTCCGTATCTTTGCCCAGTCTTTCTCATACAGTAACGTAACGTACTCTGTGCGTTTATGTAATTCTTAGCATCTTTCAGTACACCAACATTAACTCATATGCTTTCAACTATTATACTAAAACTATATAATATATTGTTTAAGAAGAGTTCCCTCAACCGCAGCGGCACAGTCTTCGCGTATATTAACATTTGCTGTCAAATTACATACTATACATTTTAGTTATAACACAATATTTACCGGAGACTTCTTACGTGAAACACATTCTAGTATAAGCCTGACACTAATTATAAACAGTTTTTTTGTAATATGATGGTTTAAATTTGACCCTTTATAGAAGAATTTGAATTGATGAAAATAGTTGAAAATATCTAAAAGCATTCATCTAAAGCCTCGTGAAGGTATTCGCGTTGATTCATGTGCTTTTATATGATAAAATAATGAAGAGGTCACACTTCTACATCTTTCTCTACTACTCTATTCCTAAATTGCGATACGTTAGTGGGCGCAAATCCCGTAGTTCCAACGTATTATGCATAGACGTGTACTGTGGGTACAACAATGAAATTGCATCTGTGAATATTTCCACAAAATAAAATACATACTTTATAAGTAATGTTTGTTTTACATTTTCTTGTTTTGTTACATTTACAGTCTGACTCTATCTCGTTGCTACCCAACAAAGTAATGTTAGTAGTGCCAACGATGATGTCTAACAGTTTTTCTTTCAACGTATCTTGCAGTTGTACTGTTACGTATTTCATATTCAGTAAAATCATAAATATTCTGTTTTATTGTTTTAAAACTTCTATGATGATCGAAGTGATTTCAGCTTCAACCGTGTAAAAATCGCTCTGCAAAATTGAGTTGTGCATTCGCTTTGATCATTCCGAGTCCCACATATATTTTGGTTTGTTTATCGTTCCCAATTTTATCGGAAGTTATCGCTCACCGATCCGCTGCAGTCGTCCTCGTTCTGTCTAGATCGCATAACGACATTGAACTTTAAACGGAAAAATAAAATAAAAGCCTTACACAATAAGAAAACAGTTCTGAAAGAATTTACAGAATTTATTTACATAGCATGGGATAATGATTGCCAAAATTCCCAACAGTCGACTTTGATTTCACTGATGTTAAAGACAAGAATTGACATCTTAAAGCGATTTTGATAAACAAAATCCATTCAAAATTAAATTAAAGAAAATGTAAACAGCCATATTCGTTGTAAGCACATACTTTTTGCTAATAAAGTTAAGTGTATTGCAGTGATTCCATATTCCAGATATTTTTGTCTTACAACAAAACGATAAATACATAATTATATATGTTCATTTTAATGAAAATTTATATTAACAAGAAACTATCGTTAAATTAAATTATTATTTCCATCGTTTATTATTTACTTTTATAATTTCTTGTGAATTTTATTCAAACAAACATGGTACAAATTGTTTAATCTAATGCAATAATAAATAATTTATAACATATTTCAAATTATAAACTGGAATCATGAAGTCTAAATAAAATAGTTGAAATTGCAATTAGTGTGTTTATACGAAAAATATTTTTTTTTTCAAATCAACTTGAAATTATTTTCTTAATTACTGGCCATTTACTTTTATGTAAACTATTATATGACATAATATTTAATTTGACACATGACAGTTGAACTGCCAAAGTTTCCCGCCATAATATTAAAAAGAAAAATAATAAAATGGACTTACATGTACTACTACTACTGTAATTAACACTATTCTCCACTTGCATTTTCATGTTTAATTTTGACTAGACGAAGATCACTTCATGTTTCAGCGTCACTTGTTTCAGCGATCCACTGACGCCGGGGGAAACACGTTCACTTCCTCATCACTATATCACTTTACATAATTGTTTCGTTAACTGTTTTCACTTTGCATCACATTTTACATATTTGTAGACATTCACTTTATTATAACCACTGTAAAAAATAAAAACAATTATAGACAATTTGTAGATTATATATGTTTCCTTTACGCACAAATTCAATAAAGTATAAAGATTTATTTGACATGTATTTTATTATTATTCGTTATACCAAAGTGAATGTCACATTGCACTCAGAAAAAGCGGGAAAGTCACGCAAACGCGCCCGAAACACGCTCGGATGCTCCGCGCTGTAGACGTGTGCGATCCGTCAACGGCTCCATCTCACTGCGCGTATCTGAAACGAAAGAATTTTTTTATTTTTACACGGATAAAGGTGTTCTCACATAAGGGCGTAATCGCATGTGCGTTCGCTTAATCCTTACATGATAGATATAATAGATATAATTTCGTCAAAGTTGCGAGACGTCTCATACAGCTATCGTAAATCGAACGTGACGATTAAGGCAAATAACTTAAAATAAGGGAGAGAGCCATGTATTGGACTTTTACGGGTAGGTAAAGAATAAGAAAATATAATGTGTTCGCTACCATAACAACTATGTTTTGAAGTATACCGAGCAAACTATGCGCTTTCGTGACCTATTCTTCTTTTCTTTGCTGCTGGACAGAGGGCCGTTTCTAGAATGCGCCAGCAGAAATACATTAATTCTACGACTTGTCCATTCACCTCACTGGGCAGGTGGTTTAGTAAGCACAGAATCAATGCCTTCTGTCTGAAAAATGTGCAAAAAATTAAAAATGGCAGAAATGTGGCAGAAAATTAAAAATGATTATTTGTAAGACTGGTAATAGGAAGCGTCAATTATGATACTAGGAAATCGGCTCTGCTGCCACTAACTCAATAACCAGTATACTAACGTCACATTCTATATACGTTATAAAGGTTAGACTGGACACAGGCTTTCTTTCATTTTAATTAATCTGCCGCGACGCTCCTGTGTGCGTTAACGGAGAATTGCTGATTTCCTCACGATATTTCCCCTCACTGCCAAGCACATGGAAAGCCAGCACTTAAATTGAAATAAACAATTTGATTTGTACCGACGAAACTGAGGTTATTTGCGTGCTCTGAAATTAACGGCAAGTGCTTACCACCTGAGTTATCCTGAGCTCTGCTCTCCGCGCAGCATGACGAATACAGACCATAATGTTTTCTTATATTTACGCGAATACTCGAATACCCAATAAATTAAACTAATTTTAAGGATTAAAACTTAAAAGTAAAAGTTTAAATTAAACGCAAACGCAAAATATTAGTCTAATTCAAAACACAGACAACACTCACAAGAAATTCATGAAAGCTAGTAAACAAATTTCAATAAATCCACTTAGTACTAGATTGTTTGAAATGCGTATGTTCAGGCTTAGGTGGGTTGTTTATGATAAATATACATATATATGATAAATAAAATGTATCATTCAATTTGTTTAAACAGTTACAGTTAATCTCATTTTTTTTATAGGATAGGGTGACAAACGAGCACACAGTCCACCTGATGGTAAGTGGTTGCTGTGACCCATATATATCTACATTTATCCTCGTTTGCGAATCAAAATTCGGATGCGTTGTCACCCGTGAGGACTAAAATGGAATGCCTCTTTTCCAGTAAAAAGGGTCTCCGGTTCTCTACACTCACCATACGAAACAAAGCAGTGTTAAGCTGCTATTGTACGCTGGTATTCTGTGAGAGCATGGTCCTTCCCCGGTCGAGCCGACCCATTCGTGCTACAACTATACTACTAATATAGTTGCAGCATGGCTCTACCACATATAAAAAATAAAAAATTCCTATAATACTTTATTGGGGCATGTTTTAAAAATTTGTTAGGACCAAAATGAGTTTAACAACTGCGATTAACGAGATATTGCGAGAAAATTTGGCAAAAATATATCATTATTTGTTTTATAAATTTTAGTTAAATAATATATCAAGAGTTGACTCAGTAGTAACTTCAAAACATATTTTTAAGTTACTACTGTGTCAACTCTCGTTTGTTTTACATAATTTACGTACTCTTATAAGTAAGTACCTTGATATATATCATATTCTCGCATATAGTATGTGGTGTATAAACATTAAAATAAGAATTGGCCAAATAAAACTGCTGCCTTTTAACTAAAACAGAATATTTAAAGTATAAGGGTGACATACGAGCACATAGTCCACCTGATTTTAAGTGGATACTGTGACCAATAAACATCTGCTTCCATCTTCAAATAAGAATCATAGTGCAGATGCGTCGTCATCCCTGAGAACTTATATGGAAAACCTCGTTTCTACGAACTACAGCAGCAATGCAGCATAATAAGCAGCAGCAAATGCTATTTTACGATAGTATTCTGTGAAAGAATGGTCTTTCCCCGGTCTAGCTATAGACGTATTCGTGCTATAATCTTAATATGGCTGCAGCATGGTTCTAGCACATGAAACAATTAATATTAATTACTTTTCATCAAAATATTAATATATATCCGTAATTTTGTCGCAAAAATATTAATTAATAAAATAAGTTATTAATTAATTTTAGCCATTAGTTTTCTGTGACACCAATTAATTTTTGCTAAAACTCAACTTTTCGAACTTGGTAATATCTAGTGTAACAGCACCTTAATCCCATTTGGCTGATATGCGTAGGAAATGCGAGGATGCACAACAGCTCTTTATTTCAAAGAACAAGGAACGATGTAACGAGGTACTAACACGAGAAACAAAGCAATTGTTGCACAGATTTGACTAGAATTCTAACAAGAACCGCTAAAATTGCTAAACTTACTGTACGGTCGGAATTGTATAAGTTATTTCATTGATTTTTTTTTCGAAAGTCCGATGCTGAACATAGAACTCCTCATAGATTGTAGGGGAATATTTGCCATGATTGCCACACTTGGCAAACCGATTGGTAACCGCAACCGTGTTGTTATCAGTCAGATGATGCTGCCCATCTCTTGTTTAATTTCTCTCTATCGCGATGATATGCCGGCACTACACGGCATATAAATTATTAATTAATAGTTAGTCTAAAAAAAAGTTATAGTTACAGCCTATAGACGTGCTACTGCTGGGCACAGGCCTCCCCTCATTTCTGAGAGGGTTTTAGGGCAAAGAAGTGTCCGCCGCGCTGCCCCAATGCGTGTTGGCGAATTTCACGTCTTCGAATTTTTTTTCTTATTTCTCAGACATGCACGTTTCCTCACGATGTTTTCTTCACCGCCAAGCACAGAGGAAATTAGCACTTAAAATTGCAATTAACAATTTAATTGGTGCCGGCGGGGATCGAACCTGGGTTCGCGTGCTGTGAAATTTACAGCGAGCGCTAACCATCTGAGCTACCACGGCTCTACACAATCCACACTACACGGCAATAGTTAGTGAATCGTAGAGATCGTAGAGCTTGAAATAGCAACATAATGTTGCTGTGTTTCGTGTGGTTTGTATAGAAAAACCTTTTTACTGGAAACGAGGCATTCCATTTTAATCCTCAGAGATGACAACGCATATGCAGTGGATTCTTAATCGAGGATAGATGAAGATAACTATGGACTTTAGCATCCACTTACCACCAGGTGAAGTGTGTGCTCCATTTTGTCACCATTACGTCCATAAAAATTTTAAAGCAAAGTTTTATGCAAAGATAACTTTATATCTTTGCTTAGAAGAAGTTTTATAGATATAAGTGTAGTGATCATAAAATACAAAATAATGAAACTATTTTCATATAGGCGAAACCATGACTGCAAATCCAATTATAGCTAATATATAGCTCCAAGTATAGTCTTTAGGGTTGGTAACACATATATAGTCTTATTTGCTTGAAGTTGACTGCAGATTTCCATGGATTCCTGTAGGCACTTACCATCAAGTGAATTGTAAGTTCGTTTGTCACTTCAGTTTCATAAGAAAAAGTGGCACAATCGCTTTAAGCAAATCAAACAAAATTTTGCTAGCAAATAATTAAAAATTAAAAATTTTGTAGAACCGACTTCAATAAAAAATTATTAATAATAACTCAAAAACTATTGATCTGACCCTGATCAAATTTATATGGGACTACAAGTGAAGCACCAGCTTTCAAATAAAAAAATAATCATCGAAATCGGTTCACCCAGAAAAAACATATTCGTATTGAGTACTTCTTCCGGTTTGAACTCGGTAGAAAAATACAGGATCCCACAGCCTGTTGAGGCAACGACTGTAAAAAGGTGTCAAAAGTTGAAAAATTATTATTGAAAGTTACCCGTTCAATAAAGAAACCATTGCAGAAAAGCTAAGAGTATATATGACCTTGATTATTCTGTATGAACGTCATAAATTATCAAACACGCTCGTCACCCAGAGGGGTAGACAGAGACTAGAGACTTCCATTTGGCACAACCCTGACACACTACTCTCGCTTCTTTCATCCATAATCTGCCGGCGTCTGTCTTTCTGTCCGCATACAATATGAGCCTCTGTAAGGCAAGTAAATAAGGTTTTAGTTACGCTAAGACAATACAAAATAAATTTGTAATGGTGTAGGAAGGTAGTGGTGGTGTAAGGATATAACCCCATATCGTCTCGTGGGAGTCATAAGAGGCGACAGGGGAAATTTGAAACAGGATATTGACAACAGCATCTTCCTGATAGTAATAAAAAGTGCGGTTGCTAACCGGGCGGGTTAAGGATAAGCTAACGCTAAGCGTTGCAACTATGGGAATATGCCGCTATGAGGCAATCTATGGGGGAGCCCTATATTCAGCAGTGGACTTTAATAGGCTGTAATGGATGGATGTATAGAAGATAATCTACCAGGAGCACATGACCCACTGAGGGGTGAAATTTTCAAATCAACAGTAACCATTACAACTATAGCAAATATCCCGCTATGAGGCAAGCTATGTATGGGGGGGCCTATGTTCAGCATTGTACTTTAGTAGGCTGTAATTGATGGATGTATAAAATATAATCCACCATGAGCACATGACCCACTGAGAGGTGAAATTTTCAAATCAACAGTAACATTACAACTAAGACAAATATCCCCCCTATGAGGCAATCTATGGGGAGGGCTATTAATTGGCTAATAGATGTAATGAATAGATGAAGGTCTTCTTATTTAAAGTTGAGCTCAAAAGATGAGTGCTGAGAATGTGAAACACATCGAAAGCAGTTTGCTGTTGCTGCGAGTTTTTGACCTTTGCAGCGACAACAATAAAGAAGTTTTGGGTATGACAATGCGAGACAAAAAAGCTACAAAATTGAACTATAACATGCTGCAAAGGGCATGA